GCCGCACGAGTAAACAGCAGCTACTCGCTGTCTGATCTCCCGCTGTTGCACGAGCAAAACAGCAGCTACTCGCTACTTGATCTTCCGCTGCTGCACAAGCCAAAACAGCAGCTCGTTTCCGTCTGATGTGCGACCAAACGGCAGCTGCCAAACAGCAACCGTTCCCGTCCGATGCGCGACCAAACAGCAGCTGTTTGCTGCTTCTACCGACTGCTTCTTCGTGAGCCAAACAGTCCCTTTGCGCGCGGCCAAACAGCATAAACAGCAGCTTCTCCGTCAACTACGACCAAACAGCAGCTGTTGTTGTTGGGTTTGAAATCAAATAACATACAATAACTACAGCAGCTAAAACCCCGTCAAATTCTTGCCCACATTGCCTACAATAACTACAGCAGCTAAAACCCCATCAAATTCTTGCCCACATTGCCAAAACCCCTTATTATGATTTCCAACACGCAAAACTACCCAACAAAAACACATAAGGAAACATGATCAAGAAAATTTGCCAATTGCATCTTCTAATGAATAAGATAAGCCAATTGGCAAGAAAATTTGCCAATTGCATCTTTATSCARTTGTTCCAAGTATTTATGCACAACCTTACATTCTAAACCATCAACATGTATCCAACAATGCCCAAATGCATCTTCTAATGAATAAGATAAGCCATGGTTTGAAAAGCACACTTTTCCTTTGGTAGAAAAATACATAAACATGACTTGATCAATGTAGTATAGCATAGGCCAAAGCATACCAAACACATTAGCCCTAATTGCTGTGCACAAACACAATGCTGCTTCAAGGTCTGCTAGACCATTGATCAGTGTAGTATAGCATAGGCCAAAGCAGACCAGAAGTGGAAATGAAACACGATAGAAGCGAACTGATATCACAAAAGAAGGTCTGAAATGAACATAATTTGAAGAGGAGATACTACTCAAGTTTATTCAACATATGTAATCTTCAAACTTTTCAAGAAAAGATTGATCAAAATGCTAAAAATAGAAAAACTTTTATACTATTAACCAAGACAGTAGTTTCGAACTACAAACCTGGATTTTCACTAAAGTTTCGAGAAATTAACCAAGACAKAAATAATACAAAAACCCCTTATAGGATTTGAACTGTGGGTGATGCGATTACCYTCACAATAGATGAACCAGGAAAAACAGAAATCAACCAAGCAAGGAGAAACAAAATCGAGAGCTTGAGAGATCGAGATGGATACCTTAAATCGAGAGATCGAGAGGTAGAAGACGGTAGGCGACGCAAGGATTGAGAGGTAGGCGACGGTAGGCGATGCGCAGCGATGGAGAGCTTGAGAGAGATCGGGTAGGCGACACGTATGCAGTAGGCGAAGGCGATGTAGAGCTTGAGAGAGAGATCGAGAGCAATCCTGTGATCGCGATGGAGAGGGAGCGTATGCAGTAGGCGAAGGCGACGCGTTTAAGAGGTTTTCAGACTTTAGTTTACCTCTAAATAAATCAGACCTATTCAGATGTTTTAAGCACTTAATTTAAAAAAAACAAACGCACTTAATCCCTCAATGTCTGACCGATTCAGACATAAGAGGCAATTAAGTGCTTTTTTTTGAAAAACAAATAGGGCCTTAGTTTTATATTTATGCAAGCTTTTAAGTTTTTATTTAAATATTGTTCTTCGTCTTGAGGTGCTGTAGCATTATCAGTCTTTTATTTATTTACTTTTATTGTCATTTACTTTCCGTCTTTACTTTCTGTCATTTATATTCAGTCTTCAGTTATTTACATTCATGTCTTTATTTTATGTCATTTATTTATGTCATTTACTTTCCGTAATGAGTAGCTAATTCCTTTAGTTCGGGTGTAGGGTAAAGGGTGAAATGTTAAACCGAATGAAAGTGGATGTTGTTTCGCAATAACAATGTTCCACTATTTCATTCAAGTTTTATAAAACCAAGCACACTTCTTGACGAGTTAATCACTTTGAACGTGTTAAAGTGACATGGACTTAGAGATAAGCCATTGATAAGCACGTCAGCTTTAATGATATAAGAGGTAGACTTGAGAAAGTTACCGACAAGGAGACTTGTCATTTATGTTTTTCAAACTTAACTCCCGACGGGTTGGTCACTCTCTAAAAGTGTCAAAGTGTGATAGATTCATATATGAACTATCAAGAACAAGCCAACTTAAATGATATGGGAATCGGCTCGAAAGAGTGATTTTTAACAAAGAGATTTGTTTAGTCATATATCTTGAAGACACCATTTTGTCGCTATCGCTGGTCTGAACACCACATAGAGATATGGGTGCTAAGCTATAATATAGTGCAAAGGTGAAGCCCGAGAGGAATACCTTCAAGATAGATGGTGGAACTAGTTCTTCTACAGCTTTGTCTGCTGGATTTTGTGTTTACGTTTCACCCCAAATCTTACACCCGTGCTACCTTTATTATTTTGTTATATTATCTTTGTTAACCTCATATTTAACCTGAAGTCTTCATTTTCGTCATCTGAAATCTTTTCTTTTATTGGACTCTTATTTAACTTTTGCTACAATCTCCATGGACGATAATCCGGTACTTATACCACTTTATTACTTGGAAAGACGATATTAAACCATATTGTATACTTACTTTGTGGCCCAATTCTTTAGTCTAAAAGGTGTTAGAAATAAACCGACCAATGGACCTTCTAAGTATGGAGTTAAGAGATCGTATGAAAGAATTAGACACTGAAAATTGGGAATATGGTATCAAAGGGTTGTTTGCAAAAACAGACCATGATGATGATGATATGATACATTGGTAATCCAATTCTCAGAACCCTAGTTCGAGAAACGAGGAAAGAGTTCAGGCTCGTGCAACTATTGCCAGAGGTTCTGTCATTGGGAGAAGATTGTCCTAAGTTGAAGAATAAATCAAATACCAAAGCATCAACATCATTAGCTTTGTATGATGATGCAATATTTACCACGACTTGTTTCTCCACCTAAAGGCGTCCAAAATTTGGATTTGTTGTATTGCCAGAGGCTCTGTCATTGGGTTTCTCATATTATTTCTTAGGGACGGAGTTCGGGGTCGGGGACAAGGGATGTCTCTATTTCCAGTCAATTTAAGGATTTTAAGGTCAAACCAGATTCGGGTATCGGGTTCCCCGTCGGGTAAGAGTTTTTTTTTTTTTTTACCATCCTTATTCATCAAAGAAGGGTGAGGATGGCAAGAAATTTTTTTGTTACCCCTTCCTTATTATGTTCCTCCAATAAGATGTCGACATGTCATCTTTTTTCTCACTCCTACTACTCTTTTGTTTATATATGCACCCCTTACATTTAGATTTACACAAGCATCGCCTTCAGTTACTAATTGGACATACACCTTTACATATGTCGAAATTTGATTATAGGAACAATGAAGGGGTAATAGATGATTTTTTTTTGCGACAGGGATGGGAACAACAACTCTTAACACGGTTAACATTTACCAGGTAAATAATTGCATACGATGTTATTTTGATGGATTAAAATTTTACTCAATAAGTAAATAATAGTGTTTGAATTTTATCGATAAACAAACTCTAAGTTCAATCTTTATTTTTGCGAGATCTGAACCACCCTCAACTTTACGATAAAAAAGATGATAAAGTAATGATGAATTTTAAATTTAAAAAAAAGGAGAACTTTATCGAAAAGACAAAAAATAAAAAAATTAAGATTATTATTAAAAATCAAAACAAAAAACTTGAAGGGACTATATTTTTATGGTAATGTTTATCAAGTTAATGTATTTTAAATAAATCTATATCTATACTTTATAACTATTTGACAAAAAAAATTAAAAATCATTTTTATACGTAAAGTACTGTTTATTAATGTATATTATTTAAAAT